CCCCATTCAGGCACAAGAAGTTGCACACCATTCCAAGAAAGATAGGGTCACGCCTGCATGTGGACTTCGCTGGCCCCTTTCAGGGGAAAACATTCTTCATAGTGGTGGACTCCTACACCAAACGGTTGGAAGTCGCACTGGTACCGTCCACTTCTACGTCCGCAGCCATCCGGGTACTACGCAGGCTGTTTGCAACCCACGGGCTCCCTGACACTCTCGTCTCAGACAACGGGACTGCATTTACGTCAGGAGAATTCCAAACCTTCACAGCGCAGAACGCCATCCGCCACATCCGTTCAGCGCCATTCCACCCTGCCACCAATGGCCAAGCAGAACGCATGGTGCGGACCACCAAGGACACCCTTCGCCGCATGACGCAAGGGGATTGGGAGTACCGCCTTGCCACATTCCTTCTAGCACAGCACAGCACCCCCAGCTCAACGACTGGCCGGAGCCCCGCTGAACTACTAATGGGTCGGCGCCTTGCAATCAGATTGGACCGCCTTCACCCCGATAGAGCTCAGGATGAGGTAGTGGTGGGGGAAGGCAAGAACCCCCGGACCTTCGAGGCTCAGGACCCAGTGTACGCAAAGAATTTTGGGGCAGGCCCAGCATGGGTACCTGCCACAGTCACCAGGGTCACTGGCCCCGTGTCGTATGAGGTGCTAACAGATGGAGGGCAATGCTGGCGCCGCCACTGTGACCAGATACGGCGACGATTCCCGGGAGAAAACCAGGAGGAAGAAAGGGCAGAGGAGTCCCAAGGGAACAGAGGGGCAGTGAGGCCCACAGAGCACGAGGGGCCAGCAGGAGAGGCAGAATCAGTAAATACAGAAAGGACCTGCGAGGCCGAAAGGACACCGGAACCAGAACCACGACTGAGCGAGCTGGTTGCGCCAGACCAAACAGCCCCATCACAGCCAGCATCCTTGGAACATGAGCCAGAACCTGAACCCCGGACCAGGGAACACCCCAGGCCGCAACGCACACGTAGGCCGCCGGCATACCTCAAGGACTATGAATGCGACCTCCCGGGCAGGACTGGAACTTAGAGGGGAGGGGTGTTATGTACTGAGTTGAATAGGATCCAAACTGCAGCAGTCTGATTGGTCCTAGAACAATAGGATTCAGAATGCAGCAGTCTGATTGGTCCTAGAACAATGCAGCAGTATGATTGGTTGGCAGGAACTACCCAATCATGCTCCAGATAGAAGTGAATCCACAACCTGATTGGCTTACAGTAGAATTCCGGAATTAGCCAATCATGTGCAGCCCATTGTGTAAATAATGTATATAAAGCAGATACTTTGAGGGGACTTCCATTCATTCCTCCTCACCACCATGAGCTGAATAAAAAAGCATGAAATCACTTTGCGACTCTGAGTATATTTCAATACCCAGGGATGACCTGTCCTTTTTTGCCACCTGAAGCAAAATAGGAAGGTGCTGTACCCATCCCCCCCAACCATGCCTGTTGAACCAGTGCCTCACTTGCTAGGGTCACATGGTTGCAGCGGTGGCTTCCAGTAGGATATCGTAAGATCTTGCTGAACTCTTTTGAGAGCTCTGTAAAATCTCACAGTATAGAAGTCTTGTTCAGAAAATAGGCTAAACCCATGTAGCTTGTGGGCTGGGCCTACTGCTGTTATCCTGCCTCCCCATATCCCAGCACTCAAACATAAGAAGGCCAAGTGTTCCCTCTTGTCCTGCTGTGGTAAACTTCAGTGACATAGCTGTCAACTTTTCCCTTTTCTTGCGAGGAATCTTATTCGGAATAAGGGGAATTTCCCTTTAAAAAAGTGAAACATTGACAGCTATGTTCAGTGATCCTTGGATGAAGTGAGGTATAGAAATTCAATAAATAATAATATTTATAATGCTGTTAAGTATATATTATGTAGGAATGTTAGTCCTATCAATGCTGCCAAATTGCTTCCCAATTTTATATCACCTTCAAGCAAGCAAGCAAATATCGTTTTTTGTTTTTTTAAGCCACCAGTTCTTCATCCAATCAAAAAGATACGGGAAGACTTCTCTTTCAAAGTGTCTGTCATGCCAGACATGCAGAGGAATGAAGTCTACATGGTTCTCAAGGCTGTTTGTTGTTGTTGTTTTAAGTGATGCATCTGGCTTAAAATGTTTTACTTCTGAATTAACCAGAAAGTCCCTAGCATTCAACAGGATTGAGTCATAATTTTTTTCCTTGGCACGGAATTGTGGTTTTCTTGTTCCTGTTTTATCCCATCCAACTTTTTTTTTCAGTCCTGCACTTGGTATTAGGGATGGGGGAGAAATTTGATTAAGTTCACAGTTGACAACAAACTTATTTGATTTGCACTTTCTGAAGCAATACGCAAATCGAAACGCATCCATCCTTTGAGACTCATAACTGCTCTGAATCTTGCAGTTCTCCAGCCAAATGATGTGTACAAAAATGCATATGCTTGGGTTGTTGCTGGCGTCTGTCTTGAGAGACAATGGAGTGTGCCTTCAGGTGTGAAGTCAAGTCTCTGTGTTAGCAGCACCAAAGTGGCCTCCTTAGGGAGCAAGACTATGCAGTGTGTATGGAGGTCCTGGGCTGCCCAGACAACAAGACCCCCATCTCAGCCTTGCTGATGTGGTCCAAAAGAAAGCAGAGCTTGGCTGCAGGAGTTGCCGGAAGGAGGCCTATAAGGCACAAGTAGATAGTCACGAAAACAACACATGAAAATGCATTATATCAGGAAACTTGACTTTCTGTATAGTAGGCATAATTGTTTGCAAACATCCACCCCAAAATGCTAAACTTTTTGAGAGGGGTGGAATTGATTTAGAAATGTAGGGAACCCAACTTAAGACTGGAAAAGTGAGAAACTGTGAGAAGCCAAAATGGACCCATTGACCCATCTCTGCTTGATAGACAGTCGTACCTTGGATCTCAAACACCTTGGCTCCCGCACAAATTGGCTCCCGAATGATCCAAACCCAAAAGTGAGTGTTCCAGTTTTCGAGCAACTTTTCGGAAGCTGGACGTCCGACGGGGCTTCTGGGGCTTCTGATTGGCTGCAAGAGCTTCCTGCAGCCAATCAGAAGACGTGCTTTGGTTTTCAAACATTTTGGAAGTTGAATGGACTTCTGGAATGGATTCCATTTGACTGTATAACTTATTTGGTTTAAAAGAGGTCTTCACACACTGAAATACTAAGGTGACAGTTATTCAGTTGTTCTTTCTTTCTTTCTTTCTTTCTTTCTTTCTTTCTCCCTTCTCAAATTAAAAGCAGGTTCGGGGTTTTGAACACAGGCATTCTTCTACGAATCCCTAGAGGCTTCCTGTACAATGTACTCTGTCCCTTCCATCCTCCCCTGAGGCTGACTGCAGCCAAGTGCAGAGAGGGAGAGAAATGCAAACCCCGAAGTCTCTGCTCAGTCTTCCGTGAGGAGGCAGCAAACTGCTCTGGGCACAGAAAATCTGCCAGCTGGCTCTAGAGGAGCAGTGGCATCAGCCATGTAGCCTCTGTCCTCATATCTGATCTGAAGGGATTAGGAAAGAGGGAGAGAAGGGGGGGGATTGGTGTAGGGAGCAAGCTGGTGAAGGGTAGCAGAAAGGAGCGTAGAGGAGATGTATCTATAAATTTAATTTTTTAAGAATACGTCTCACCAGTTTCTCACCTGCAACAACATGTATAGGCCTTGCAGCAGATGAAACACAATTGCCCCCCCCCCTTAAACACCATAGAGAACTGCCAGTGGCATTAGTAGCAAGATTAAAGGGATTTAGATTAGATTCATGCCTCAGTCAGAACTGAAATCTCAGGCTCCACTTTTGTATATAATATGCAGTGAGGCAGAAGCATGGCTGCACGGCTGCAACATTTGGTACCCCAACCCCATGTGCAAGAGAGGGCGGTGGAAGGAATTTAGGGGTGCAGGGGGGGTGTTTGATGACTGGGAAATTGAACTCAGTGGGGCCCATTCAGTTCAATTTTCATTCATCTCACAACCAATACAGAGGGGGGTGACTGGGAGACCTCTTCCATATTTTAAAAATCACATTTGAAAACAAAAGAGAGAAAGACATTTGAAAATGTGAGGGGAAAGGAAAATAAAGTGAACTAAACCACAGAGCCTAGGGCTTGCCAATCAGAAGATCAGTGGTTCAAATCCCCGTGACAGGGTGAGCTCCCGTTGCTCGGTCCCTGCTCCTGCCAACCTAGCAGTTCGAAAGCACGTCAAAATGCAAATAGATAACTAGGTACCACTCCGGTGGGAAGGTAAACGGCATTTCCGTGTGCTGCTCTGGTTCACCAGAAGCGGCTTAGTCATGCTGGCCACATGACCCAGAAGCTGTATGCCAGTAAAGCAAGATGAGCGCCGCAACCCCAGAGTCGTCCACAACTGGACCTAACGGTCAGGGGTCCCTTTACCTTTTAGGCTTTCTGCAATGAAAACAAATGGCACTTGAAGCAATTTCTCTCCCTTTGCAACGCCCACTAAATAATTATTTTAGGCTGTCAGTGCCTGTGTGTCCTGCTAAAACCCAAGTAGGCTTGGTCTCAAAGAGGTGGCCAGGTGAGAGCTAGTGACACACTTCTGCATTAAAGCATTAGGTGCAGATTCACATTTTTGCAGATTTTTCAGACCCTCGAGGTTTCATTTCTTCTCAGAAGGAAGAATAGGTGCACATTTCTTTCAGCATGTCACCTGTAAGCCTGTAGCTAGGCCTTCTCCAGTAGGACCAGATCAGGCTGTTTCAAGATATTGCCACTGCCATCCATCTTGGAACTGCTGGAAGACGCTGTGGCCAATGGGGCCTGGAGCTTTGGGCTTGGGAAAGGGGCAGGAGTCGCTGTCGTCTCTCTGCCCCTTCCAAATTTTGGACGTCCAAGTGGAGAGGGTTCCAATGAGCAGCCCTTTGGGATGCAATGAATGCGTGTTCTTCCACCAAAAAGACCTCTTAGCTAGTGCATTTTAGCGCTTTATCGTTTTCTGAATGTGTGTGTTGTTGTTGCTTTCTTTGACAGGTCCATGGGAAGTGCATGTGCAGACATAACACTGCAGGACAGCATTGTGAGAGGTGCGCGCCATTGTACAATGACCAGCCATGGGAGCCAGGCGATGGAAAAACGGGGACACCAAATGAATGCAGAAGTATGTGGGTATGGCGAAGAGAGGGTAGAGATGAAGGGTTGCAATGTAATCCATCTTTCCACCCAGCAGCAAAGCCTGATAACAGCCAATTCATGGAGTTGGGATTTACGATGCTCTAGCGACAGATGGGGAAATGGGATTGCCAAGCAACTGCCTGAAACTCCTTTCAGTCTCTCTCTATATGTGTGTGTGCATGTGTGAGCAAATGTGGTTGGCCTATGTGATCTATTGTAAAATAGGGTACAAAGAGCAAAGCTCTGGTTTTCAAAGAGATTTTGCCCTAGCATTGCTTACGTTTTGGCCTACGATGAGAGCAGTGGAAAATATATAGATTTTTTAAAGTTCATCTGTTTCTTAGCAGGTACCATTGTAGATTTATTTATATATTATTATTATTTATTGGATTTATATACCGTCCTATACCCGCAGGTCTCAGGGTGGTTCACATAATTTAGAGGCTTTCTAGTTTTATTTCATTTCGTCAAAGAGTAGTACTTCATTTCAAGGTGCTTTTAAAAATGGTAAAGGTCCTACCATCGTTCCTCAGAAAATAATATATTCAGAATGGGTATGTTAGTTGAAATAGTGATTGAAAAGAATACATTGGATAAAGCAAAACTCCAGTTACAGTGAGGTTTTTAAAATCAGAGTTAAAGAGGCTCACCTCTAGAGGTTTAAGGTTTCCATAATCAAAATTCTAACCTCTAGGGATCCTTTCGCCTTAAAACTATGGCACAGTTAGTGGCCTAGATGGAGATGTGTCTATCATTGCGCAATTTTACTTTTATTGGCCTAATGTACAAGTCACTCTTCAAAAAAAAAAAAAGATTCTGGTTTAAACTAGTTGAGGTGGAGTGGGGTGGGGTATTTGAGGGACGAGGACTGAATATCACAGATACTTCAGGCTAGATGCAGCCCCAGAGACAATATTTGCATCCCTTTTATTAGAATGGGGTGGGGTGGGTGAAGCTCTTCTCATGTTTTACATCTTATATACTAATAAAAGGCAACAAACTTTATGTGGAATCAGTTTTGCAAATATGATTACAATAAGTGCTTGGTTATCAGCACAAAAGAGGTAGGTTTATCACTTAAATTACTCAGTCTCTGCCCTACCCCTGCAAATCCTGCCTTTTCTTAACTCATACTGATTGAGGGAAATGTAAAAGGAATAATTTGTTTGTTTCATAAAACTCGTATAGTGCTTAGTTGTAAAATAACAGCAACAATAACCCTCAAAGCGGCTGACCAGAAAACACCACTCACGTCGCTGGATTTTCTTTACACATCTTCCCAGCGTTTCCTTGCTCTTAACTAAAATGTTAGGACTAAATAAATCCATGCAAGGGAAAACCCCACATTTAAGTTCTATTCACTTGTACTACAGTGTGAGTAAGAATCATGTCACTCCTTCTTCTTTTCCCTCTCCCCCTCACCCCTGGGCTCTGGACAGAGTGTCGCTGTCACAGTCATGCTGAGAGCTGCCATTTTGACCTGAGCGTCTGGTTGGCATCAGGAAAGCAGAGTGGAGGTGTCTGTGACAACTGCAAGCACAACACAGAGGGCTACCGGTGTCAAAGGTGCAAGCCTGGTTTTTACAGAGACAAAGGGAAACCCATGTCTTCGCCGGAGATTTGCAAACGTAAGTGAGGATGGGTGGGTCTGCCAATTTGGATTTCACTTTTTCTTTCCATCATAAATTTATTTCTTCACATTTCTGCAGCAGGCTGCAGTGCTGTTGCTTTTAAAGACATGATAGTTCATTGGCATTATAATGTGAATTTCTACGATGATGATGATGATGATGATGATGATGATAATGATGATAATTTATTCCCCGCCCATGTGACTGGGTTGCCCCAGCCACTATGGGTGGCTTCCAACATAGTATAAAAACACAGCTAGCCATCAAATATTAAAAACTTCCCAATACAAGGCTGCCTTCAGATGTCTTCAAAAGGTTGTAAAGTTCTTTATCTCCCTGACATCTGATGGGAGGGTGTTCCACAGGGTGGGCGCCACTACCAAGAAGGCTCTCTGCCTGGTTCCCTGTGCCTTCACTTCTCACAATGATGGAACTGCCAGAAGGCCCTTCTGAGCTGAACCTCAGCGTCCAATGTGAACAATGGGGTGGAGATGCTCCTTCAGGTATACAGGGCCCGAAGTACACATTTTTGTATGCACTTTGTGTGACTATTACACACCTTTCTGCAAACAATTTCCCCTAAGGTGATGCATTTTTGTATGCTATTTCCCAAACACATGCATTTTATGTACCCTTTTCCCAAACATATGCATTTTAATACACATTATTTTGTTGGAAAACTGAATTGCAAAATTCAGGGAAGAGCAGATTTGGAATGATAATTGCATTTCTGCTTGCATATTCATTTGAGAAATGTGAATTAGATATTAAAAAGAAAACTGGACTGAATTTCTTCCCCATTGTTAAATGTAAGTCATCAGCACACTTGTTTTAGTCATATTTATATATAATAAAGTAACTGATTGATTCAAAACTACCAGTGAATTTGACGGTGGGGGGGGGGGAGTTTCAACATGTACAAACTGGTAGAGCCTATCTCACAGCGCCATCGCTGTATGCCTGCCCTTCTCCAGGGTCAAGCTCTGGTATAAAAAAAGGTTCTGCCCATTTGTAGGAGAAATCAGCAGTACATGCTGATCAGGGATGTCATCGTGACATGTGAAATGTTCTCCCAGTCACTGGAACAGCTTTGCACTCTAATACATTTCCTTTCAAAATATATAAGTGGAAGCAAACAAACTGATGAATGCTTTGGGATTCATGCAGCACCTGAAAAAAGAAGAAAATTCTGAATTTCAGTGCAGGGCAAGACAGGCTGCTGGGCCACTGTTTGATTCGCTAGAAAGCACATCTGTCATTTAAAGTACAATGTCAGTCTACTCTTTTAGTATTCCTGTATCTGTCTCCACCCTACTGCCTTGCTTCTGGTCTTCTGCTGCTACTTTGGTAGACCTGATCCAGGTTTCCTTTGAACTCTTATGCTTCTTGCGCTGTAATTTCCGCAGGGCCCCGGTATTGCTTGAATGGCCCTGTTCACAACACTTCCTCTGTTTCTGCTCTTTTGTGTTTGCCTCTTCTGAAATGCTAGTGCTGGCTCAGCCTCCGTCCCCCTCCCTGCCCTGTTCACCAACTTTTAACCTTTCGTGAAAGCACAAGGAACGAGGAGCTGCCGAACTAACCTATTAGTGTACCTGACCATATTGCATGACACCCAGTGACTTCTCCTGTAGCTCCTTTCTCTTAACTCTTGAGAAATCTTAGGGAAAGTAAGCTTTGTAAAGCCACCCTACCACAAGATTAGATTTCAAACCTCATAGCAGTTGAAAGATTTGTGCCTGAGTACCAAAGTGGGGTAAATATTTAAGTTAAAGAGCAGAAGGGGAGCAAAACCATTATTTCCTAAGAAATCAACTACAAAGGAGCCAACTTGAATGAAACTGAAGCTCAGTTTTCCAAATGGCTTTTGATCTAATATGGCTGCCTTAGCTCTAAGACAAATCTTCTCGCAAATATTTTCTTCAGCATTCACTTCTGGGAATACTGATGTTTCAATGCTTTCCAGATATCCTCTGAATATTTTCTGAATATTCAGGGAAAATCACAAACAGTATTTGATATCCAGTGGGATTTGATTTCAGTATTTGATCATTAACATTATGTGATAGTCAGCAAGTCTAGTAAAATTATTTGGTGATATTTGATTTGATAGCTGGTATGCATTGATGGTTTGTTCTTTATAGTATTTGGTGGCTGACAGAGAAGTTGTTTTTTTTTAAAAAAACGTAATTTTATTAATCTAGATTTCCAAGATAGCCTATAAAAGAGAACCATAAAACAAACATAAAACAGATCAAAAACATCAGAAACAAAAGCAGTTATCAAGCCACATTTAAGACTTTTTTTTTTAAAAAAAAAGATTGCTCAAGATTTTAACTGACATGCAAGTCTTTGACATGTGCATTAGTATTTAGTACAGTCATACCTTGGTTTTCAAACAGCTTAGTTCTCAAATGTTTTGGCTCCCGAACACCGTAAACCCAGAAGTGAGTATTCCGGTTTGCGAACTATTTTTGGAAGCCAAACATCCGACGGGGCTTCCACGGTTTCTGTACTTTGATTTCCGAACGTTTTGGAAGTCGAACTGATTTTCAGAATGGATTCCATTCGACTTCCATAGTACAACTATATTTGATTACTTCCAATATGTCACAGTTTGCCACCTGCCAAAATCAAAACAGACAAGATGCGAACAAGTCTGAAGTACCTGACTTGTGAAGTAAAATTTGAGATGCGATTTTTGAATTCTTACTTGAAATTTCACATAGTAGTAGTAGTAGTAGTAGTAGTAATAATAATAATAATAATAATAATAATAATAATAATAATAATAATTTATCATTTATACCTCGCCCCTCTGGCTGAGTTTCCCCAGCCACTCTGGGCGGCAGGTTGAGTTTGGCAATATTTGAAAAATATGTCAGATTCAAATTATTCCTTTCAGTTTTCCAACACGTTCTGCTCCCTGTTCGCGCATTCTGTGGAAAAAGTCTCTTCTGTCACATATCAAGCATGCAGAGCCTACGTATAGCGAGTTTGTACAAACAAAGGTTCCTTCACAAGTTGTGCTGAACGTGTATGTGGGGGGAGAGCTCCTGGTTGCCATCCTGTGCCCCCTTTCTATGTGTGTTGACTGTGTACAATTCTACTCAGTCGCAGCCAATGGAGCTGCACAGGTGAGGTGGCAGTGCCACATAGTGAGAGGTGGAGGGGCAAGGCATCAGAAGTTTGGCACAGTGTGGGCACAGCACAGACACAGTGGCAGGAACATTGGGTTGTCTCCCCCATAATGCCCGCACTGTGCCAAGCTCATTTTGCCCTGCCCTTCCACCTCTCAGTAAGAGGCTTTGCCACACCATGTTCAGAGACGGGAGAGCAACACAGCCTTACCAGCTACTCCTGGTCCTACTAACTGGGCATTAATCAGCCTTCATCCTACCTCACAATTCCGATTTGTACCACACCCTGTCCTGCTGACCTTCAGCAAAAGACCGGAGGGTTTGCGATGTACCAGTAACTCATACCCTCAGCTTATTTTGGCTGAGAAATGCCATGTTAAATATCCACCGGCTTACAAAATAAAAATAATTTTAAAAATGCTGCGGAACACCATGTTCAGAGACGGGAGAGCAACACAGCCTTACCAGCTACTCCTGGTCCTACTAACTGGGCATTAATCAGCCTTCATCCTACCTCACAATTCCGATTTGTACCACACCCTGTCCTGCTGACCTTCAGCAAAAGACCGGAGGGTTTGCGATGTACCAGTAACTCATACCCTCAGCTTATTTTGGCTGAGAAATGCCATGTTAAATATCCACCGGCTTACAAAATAAAAATAATTTTAAAAATGCTGCGGATACCAAAGAGGAAAATAACAAATTTGTCACAGCAGATTGCACAGATGTTTGTGGGATGAGCAATGGAGTTCTCAGCCCCGTTGTGAGAAAGGAAGAAATGCTTTGGGGAAGGGAGAGAGGGAACGGAAACTGCCATTGTCTCTCCCGTGGGCACTGGGTTGGAGAAGGAAAGGCCGAGGGGGAAAGCTGAATGAAATACCCCATTAATCCCTTCGTGAAAAGCTTGCTTTAAGAGTGTTCTTCCATCCAGAGCAAAGTCCCTCTGTTAAGCTGGAAAAGGCCCTCAGGCTCCTGAGAAGAAAAGCGAAGAGGACTTTCTGCTCAGAAGGAATCTCTCAGCATTAGTCACAATAATCGAACACATTCTCTCTTAATCACCAGTAAGAGGGAAAATGTGTTGTATAACAGTCTGAATGCTCTGGTGCTAGCCAAATCCTCCTCCACAGAGTTCTCATTGGTAGGGATGCACAGACATTCCTGCAAAATGAATTGAAAGGAAATAAACCAGCCCAAACAGCAAACACATAAACATGCCTTCCCCTTCCTGTCACCTCTGTTCATCCCTGAACTTTCTTCAACTCTTTTGGTATTTTGCTGGGTGGAAGGACAGACATGCACATTAGGGCAGATGGGGCATTGCCGGCTTACCTTACTTGCAGCCAGTCAGCAAGTGGCTGGGCACACAGCTTTGGTTTCTGTAAGGTCTACAACTGACGACACAGGAATGCATGATCAGATTTCCTGACTTTTTTGTTTTAGCAGTGAAACAGGGCTCCAATTTTTATTAGAGCAGGCATAGGCAAACTTGGCCCTCCAGATGTTTTGGGACTATAATTCACACCATCCCTGACCACTGGTCCTGTTAGCTAGGGATCATGGGAGTTGTAGTCCCAAAATATCTGGAGGACCGAGTTTGCCTATGCCTGTATTAGAGCAACACTAGTGAGGGACAGGGGGCTTAATTTAGAGCCGGCCCTACTGTTAGACAAAGTGAAGCAGCCACTGAAGAGTGGTAAATGCGGAGGGGTGTCGTGCCTGGCCGGCCTGCTGCCCTCTGGTGTGGTGGAGGACTCTGCCCCACTGTCAATGTTGAAGTAAGAACCAGCTGCAAGTTAGGCTGGCTTTTGTACATGGAATGGGAGTGACCACATCTTGCCTTTTATCTCAGTCAACAAGATGTCTTGGGCTGGCCCTGGCTTAACCCTCTCCCACATTCCATTTCCCATTCTATACCAAGCTGCTACTAGTCCTCATGGCGGGAGGGGCTAAACATAGGACTGATTCAGGAGCATGTGTTATTTCCTGTGGAAGGCGGACACTTCATTGGGGGAAACAGCATGGGGAAATGGAGCAAAAGGTCCTCTCCCCTTGAAAACCACACATGGCGGGGTGGGAGAGAGAAATATCTGGAGATCCAATCACAGATCTCCCATTCCATGTGAATTATGGCCTTCAAGTTGCAATTCTGCTAACCAGGGATTTGCTTAATTTCCACTAACACCTTCAATAGGATTGAAGCCACTTAAGTGCATTCAGGGTACCAGCCAAGGCATGTCACTTTCTGGTTCACTGTGTTTTTTTTATATTCTGTTGGAAGCCACCCAAAGTGGCTGGGGCAGCCTAGTCACATGGGCGGGATATAAGTAGTAAATCATCATCGTCTGAAAATGCGTCATTTGAAAATTGATTGTGTAGGAGCAAGAAATACAGAAAGAAGAAGGACACCCAATCTGACTGGCTTGACACAAATAATCCTGAAGTGCCATTCCACATATGGCTAAGTGTACTAGGTAGATGAAAGTCATTTTCTTTTGTTGTAGCATAGATAGGGAAACTGGAGCAAACAGCATTAAACTTGTCAGAAGTGTGTTCATCCCTCTACCCTTGGAGTCCATGTGTCAAACATTTCATTAATGTCAAAGTCCAAATTTGGGCGAACCATTCCATCAACAAGTCTCCAGTGTTTGGCGATAATTAATTTAGCCGCCACAATTAGGTATATACAGGCAGTGACTGTTGTACACGTGTCCGATTGATGCTTGAGCATGCGCACGCTCATTTCCACGGACCCAGAAGTGGCTGGAAAAGGGGGTGTAATGGGGAAGGGGCATAATGGGGCTAGCTTATGCATGGTCCACCGATGCAGGCGGTGGCCAGGAATGCAACCTGGAGCTAGGTTTTTACTTAACACTGTTACAGATCGAGAATCAAAAAGAAAAAGAAGAGCAAGTTTAAGGTCAGATGAAAGTTTCTGATTAGTTATGCATTCCGTTTCTTGGAACACTTTCTGCCAAAACGAAGTAGCTTTGGGATAGGACTACCACATATGCAAGAAGAAACCAGGGACCCTTGTACCCTCTCCAGCCTCTAACATCCTACAAAGTTGTGATGGATATAAATACCAGTCCTGAGGAAGCTTAATCGTATTTTCTTTTACCTTGGCTGAAAATGACTTGAGGGGGTCCAGATTGCTTGCCAGCCTTAAATATGGGTCCACCAACATCGCCCCTCACAACATGTTTTTTCATTTCATAGTTAAAACCTGGTAGGGTTTGAGAAAGAACTTTGCAAAGCTTAAGAATAAGGCCTGGGTCTATTGTCTCTTAGTTATAAATCGGTGATTCAAAAGAAGTTAAAGGGCAAGCAGTCTATTCCGAGAATGTTGTGTTTATGCATCTGACATAAAGCCCTTGCAGAGATTCTGTCCCTGCAGGTGACTGTCGGCTAATCTTCTCCATTCCACACTGCGCTTTCCCATTCAGCTTGCTCCTGCCACCTCATGGGCTCAGTGAACACGACTTTCAACCAGAGCTGGAAATGCCACCCAAAGACAGGATTCTGCTTCTGCAAACCAGGCGTTGCAGGCCCCAAATGCGACCGGTGCCTCTTGGGCTATTGGGGATTTGGAGAGAATGGCTGCCAGCCTTGTGACTGTGCCAGAGATTGTGACAAGCACACTGGAGAATGCCTCAACAAGTAAGCAAACTCCTTATCACAAACTGATAATGTGCAGAATCCCTAGGCTGGTTCAGTCCTTGCTCAGGATTAGGATATTATTGCCTAACTGAAGGATACAGAAAATATCATTGCATCTTTCTGCACAGAAATCACTAACGATTGGTTCTTAGAAATGTTCCTTGCTTGACTTTGCTTATCAAAACTCTGGAGCTAGCATTACCTCTCTGTCACTGAGTAGTAAGTGAATGAAGCAGAGGCTACCTTATGACTATCACATCCCGGGATCTAAGTGCCATTTCCATTTGTTCTGTTGTCCTCTTCTTCCCAGTTACGACAACCAGGCTTTTTTCAATATTCCCATTGGTGGAAGAATCCCTGACCTTATTCAAACACCAGCCAATGAAACTGAAGATGAGTGGCAGTGGAATGACCACGAACAAGGGTTTTCTGCTCTAAGACATCCAGGTATGGATTTATATCGTTGCACGAAATGGACAGATGCCAGTTATTACTTTTACAATTGAGTGGAGCGTTTTAGATTTACAGAGTATTTGTCATAAGTTATTGTAGTGACTGAAGGGTACTTGAGTCTGATCTCTGACTTTCTTTTTATTTAGCATATATATTAATTGTGTGATAATTTCCATGCAGGGTGTTTTGCTTCCTACTTAGAAAGCTTGGCTAGATAGGGTGGTGTTTCACTTTTGCCATTTAAGCATCATATTTGCAAATAAATGATTTCTCTTTAAAACCTATTTTAATAAGACATACTCACCTTCTTGGGCAAGGTTCTTGGACCAAATCTAGGCATTCTTGGAGGAAATTGATTTTCTGGATCAATTTCAATTGGGGTTTAGGCCTGGTTTTGGCACAGAAACTGCTTTGGTGGCCCTATGTGATGGGCCTCTGTCATGGCCTTTTAAACTCTGTGTGTAGTATGTATTTTTGTCCTTTTATATTCTAAACAGCCCTGTGATCCTTACTTAAAGGGTGGTATAGAAATTTAATAAATAGATAATAAAATAATAAACAATAGCAACAAAACATTCCGATATTTGAAAGCGTATGTGCATGTGTACATGAAAATGATTTCTCTCTTTGCCAAACTCACCCAACCCCACTTTCTTAATGTGACCCTCCTCCTTCAACACTGGCCTGCGATTCCCTGGCTAGAAAAGTGTGTCTGCAAAGAAAGGATACTAGGAAGCGTCGCCAATTTCTGCCAGATGAAATATGCTTACGGTAAGTGAGTAAAATACCTTCTCCCATTGTAATAGTGGGAACCAATTGAAGCCCCAGAACATCTTTCCTGCTGCTCTTCATCTTTCAAAACTCCAAAGTCTGTAGCAGAGAAGCCTAACGTCTGCACAAAGTAAACTCGGATACTTAATGCTCCCATAAAAATAACAATTATAGATGAATGCTCATCTTACACTTATTTTACTTACACAATTGCATAAATAAATGGAGAGCGGCAGAATGCCAACTTGAATAAATATTGGAGGAGGCCAGGTAGGCCCTGCTCTGCATAATGGATCACAACACACACACACACACACACACACACACACTTGAATGGCACTGCCCATCATTTTTCAGGGGGCAGCCCCCTCAAATAATTTTTTTGGGGGGCAAAGGGACCTCAGCCCCTAGGAGTTGGCTCTTATCGAAAGCGGAGTAAACTCACTTTCTATTTATTTTCCTCCCACCCAGCCAGAGCTGCGTTCACAGGCTTACCTGGCTTTGTGAAGATGGTGTAGGAGTTCTGGGATACTGCCAGACCCTCTGTGCCTCCTTCCCAGAGCTGGAAAGGAGGTGGAAGAGCTGTAGGACCCTGCCGCAGCCCTTCTACGCCCTTCCAAAAGCTGGGCAAGCAGCCCTCGGCCTTGCTGGGTGGAGGTGGTTCTGGACGTTCCTGGCTTCAGGCATCATTGTTTTCATGCTTGGGACCCCGGAATGAAGCCCTCGCATAAGATGTGTGTTGCCTGTATGAGATTGAATTTCTATAACTCTGTCTAGATATTATGTTATGGGTTGGCATTTGTGTTTTATGTTGTGATCATTTGATACAGGGCGGTATACAGCTATAATTAGCAAGATATGTCGTTTCTCCCTAAGACAAACTATCCAAATTCTATGACAGCTCTCCGAAGGCAGTCTGCTAATGCGTTTGTGTATTAATTAAGATGTGCTATAGCCACGTCTTCAGGTTCTGCCAACCAACACAGCAAAATAAATTGCCCAGTGTGTAAAATTAATTGTGTTTCCTTTTGTGCTCTTTGGCAGTAATAAAAGCAAAGATCCTCTCCGCTCATGACAAAGGAACCCATGCAGAAGTCATTGTGAAGGTCAAGAAGGTTCTGAAATCGGGAAGAGTGAAAATCACGAGGAGTAACAGAAGCATCTATCCTGAGTCTTGGACCAACAGAGGTTGCACATGCCCAATTCTTAATCCTGGTAAATACTCTGTATTTATCCCTGGCATGTCCATGTAGGACAGGAATTGTCTCCAGCCTGAAACCCTGGAGAGCTGCTGCTAGTCAGTGTTGGCAGTTATGAGTTAGATGGAGCAACTCTTTTCCTCAGAAAATGGGCATGGCAGTGCCAACCCACCCTCAGTGCTTCATGCCCCAAAAGCATTATAGTGTTCTTGTGTGGGTTGCCCTGTCACCACAGAGTTCCCACCTGTTCCACATTAGGTCAGTGTGAGATAATGGTAAAAAGAAGGGACCATATCCAGACGATGTATTATTTGCTTCAGGTGGTTGGTTCTGTGACATAATCACCGCTGAAGACCTGCAATTTGCATTGAAGGGAAAGCTCCCATTGGAATAAGTGGGAGGTTTTTCCCTCTATGCAAATAGCCAGTGTGGGGACTGCAGAGGGGGTAAAGAGTTAAAACTCTCCTATGCCACATGCCAGGGCTCTGCTGTAGATCAGGCGTGGTCCCAAGCCTGTAATTTACTTTTGAGAAGCCAGTCACAGAATTACTAAATACTGTACATGATGGGCGCTTCATTTGTTTTGGCCCTTAGTGCCAGAGTCTCTTGCATTATTCCTTCCAGTTTCATCGCTATGCTTTGTAACTTGATGCACACTGCCACATAGGTCCTGTTGTCCTTTAAACGAGAGCCTGGGAACATGCTTTGGATTGTTTCTTCCATTTAAAGTCCCAAGTAATTAGAGAAGGAACTAGTTTACTTCTGGGCTTCATCAGATTAGGATGAGCAAATACGTACTTCTGAAGGTCACAGCAGTCTTGCCCCCATCCCTTGATAAATTATATTGTGCTTTTTTATTGTGACTAAATTAAACACACATCCACATTGACTGAAAGGAAGTGTTTTGTCTAAAATGTAGGGTTTATAACCTAATCATTCACCATGATTAACATGAGAAGACTTTCCCATCAAATGCCTAGAATACCACCACTGTTTCGATTTCCCATTTTCTTTCTGCCCCATAAACTGAGGCTGGAGACAAACAATAGCTTTCTTGAAAGAACTGACAGCAATTTGAAAGAGGGTTTGCTGCTTAGGGTGTATAAATGTACCCTGTTTTCATTTATGGCAAGGAGGAGTTTCAGGGTTTTGTACCATTTAAAAACCTGTGGACCAGTTAGATCTGAGTTGACCTGGGACAAAAGGAATGAAGGGAAGAGTCCTTAAAATGGTTGGTTGGTTTCCAGCCTAACAGTAAAGTGGTCAACTTTCATATCCTGCCAATTTATTTATTTATTTTATTAGATTTATATACCACCCTTCATCTAAGGACCACAGAATGGTTTATAAAAGCTCTTCCTTTATACACCTATGGGGTAGACAGTGATCATATTCCTCTCCCTCCCATTGAAATCTTCACTTAGGAGAAATTCAAATTGAAATGATGATGCAGAAATGTAGAGAATAAACTCAAGGTTGGAAAAACAAGAAAGTGAGAGAAACTGAAATTGACCTATTTCTCCACGCCTACTTCCAGACAACCAGTTTATTGAGCTTTCATCCTGATCCGTTTGCACAAATTCTGCAGGTCAGGTGTCACCTGCTATTCAATGAACCTCCCTTCTGATTTGTTTTCAGGGAAGTGAGATGATGCTGTGCCCAGCAAATGTTACCCCACGCTTTATAATGCATTTTTGTAACACTTCCTTATTGCGAAAAACCCCAAGTTTTAGAAGAAGTAAGTGAGTCTGCTGCAGAAGATCCCCAAATCAAATTTAATTGTGCAACCTGAATTTGTCAATATGTGCTTAAACCCCACCTGAAAATAATGACAGTCTGGAAGTGCCGAGTCAGGGGTGCCTACTTGAATGAAATATTGCGGGGCCCAGGGAAGCCCTGCCCTGTGTCACATGACACAGCGCACGCACACCATTTGGATGGCAATGCCCATCAACTTTGTGGAGGTCTGGCCCCCCTCAAATATTTTATTGCAGTGGCCCAAAGTCCCTGCGGCCCCTAGGAGTTAGCTCCTATGCAGCTAGTGATGCAATAATAATAATAATAATAATAATAATAATAATAATAATAATAATAATAATAATAATTTATTTGTACTCGACCCATCTGGCTGGGTTTCCCCAGCCACTCTGGCTGGCTTCCAACAAAATATTAAAATACAATAATTAATCAAATATTAAAAGCTTCCCTAAACAGGGCTCCCTTCAGATGTCTTCTAAAAGTCCGATAGTTGTTTATTTCTTTGACATCTGATGGGAGGGCGTTCCACAAGGCGGGCACCACTACTGAGAAGGCCCTTTGTGAGGGAAAGGCTTTAACGCAACAGTAGGGGAAAGACGAGGTGGATGAAGGGAGTGGGGATGCTGACACAAAGTCAGCTGCGATTTAAAGCAACAGTAGAAAAAAGGCGGAAAACCCCGGAGCACTCTGACTGGCTCCTCAGATCTGTGTAAACTAATAAAAATATAGTTTGACTTTTCTCACTTGTTTAGCTACTTGTCCATCTAACAACTATATGGATCTGTCATGATGATATCCAAACATAACTATTGCACCTGTGAAATAAAGATCCATTTATTTATTTAACAAACTTCAATGACTTCGGAGGGTGGTAGGTCACTGCCAGTTTTTGATACTGGATTGTAGATCACAGCCTACTCAAAGTTGGACATGCCTGGACTAGATGACCCTCAGAGCCCCTTCAAATTATGCAATTCTGATTCTATGAGTGGAGTAGAGTTTTTGAAACAGCATCTGTTGGAGGTCCTCTAGTTCTTTATTTTGTGTGAGGAGCAGGGGACTGTCACGACCCCCATCCAGCTGTAGAATTCTATGACTGAGCAGGGAATTGAGCGCAAGCCCCAATCCAGCACTATCCTCAATGCCACACTTTAAAGCCCTAAACAGCCTCGGTCCTGTATACCTGAAGGAGCGTCTCCACCCCCATCGTTCAGCCCGGACACTGAGATCCAGCGCTCAGGGCCTTCTGGCGGTTCCCTCGCTGCGAGAAGTGAGGTTACAGGAAACCAGGCAGAGGGCCTTCTCGGTAGTGGCGCCCGCCCTGTGGAATGCCCTCTCAGCAGATGTCAAGGAAATAAGCAGCTATCCTATTTTTAAAAGACATCTGAAGGCAACCCTGTTTAGGGAAGTTTTTAATATTTAATGCTGTATTGTTTTTAACACTCGATTGGGAGCCGCCAGACTGGCTGGGGAAACTCAGCCAGATGGGCAGGGTATAAATATATTATTATTATTGTTGTTGTTGTTGGCATGTGGGCTAGTTTAATGCAAATGCATACAAGCAGCAGAACAGAAAATAATTTGCAAGTCCAGTTTTGACTATATTTGCATTCCCTTTCTTCCTGAATGTCCACAGAGTGTCCCTTCCTGTCCCTTTTTGTTTTGTTTTGAGCAAGGGGAAGGGCGTCTTTGGGAAAAGACAAGGAAATAATCCACACTCGCCCCTGCTAGTCCCGTCTGGCACTGCATTCATCAGGAGTTTCTGCTGTGCGCAGCAGTCTGGCTCCCTGCCCAACCATCTCTGTGCCATTGTACGGCATGTTCTTCCCTAGCTGGTGACAGGAAGTCCATATCTAATCTCATGGCATTAGAGTATAATCATAAAAACTTCATTTATGGTGTGGTGCAGTGCAATTGCAGTGTGGGTTTATTTTTAAGTAAAAATAATAATAACAACAACAACAACAACTGCCTTTGTCACCAACAGAGATATAGCACCTTGAAAAAGAAACTGCCACCTTTCCCCTGCTCCCTAAATGTAAAGTCTGATTGGGAAGCCATCAGTTGGCATTGTTTTAACTGGGCAATATATTACTAGAGAAGGCAATCCTTTGGTCCATTTAGCTCAATACTGTTGACACAGCTTGGCAGTGGCTCTCCAGGGTTTCTGGCAGGGGACATTAAATGTAAGAAACACAAACAGTATAATTGCATTTTAGCTTGAAATTTAGCTAATTTCAGTGACTGCTCACGAAGCTGTGTTAATGATGCACGAGCACCCTTACATTGGTAAGTGAATTAAGGCCTGTGGTGGGATTATGCCCCGTTAATTTCAAGTCAATCTACCATGTAAATGCAGTGTAAAAATATCACGTAAGTTTTCCTCATATTATTTTTGGAACCTGTAAAGACTTGGGAGCCGTGGCGTCGTTTTCCTTAATATAATTAAGGCTCTTTCTTATAACTAGTTACCTGTAATAAATTGCATTTCATGAAATGTTTTGGCCATTATGTTTATTAAGTTTTGCAGGTGGTGACGGGCTCGTCTTTGATGAGGGTAAATAAGACTGGTTCCCCAATTCATTTGAAGAGGTCTCTGCTGTTGTGGGTTATAGCTAGTAGAAGAAATGGGGGAGAATGGGTTATTACTGCTTTTCAGGGCCAAATGAGGGTCACACACCCCATACTAAGTGATTATGGCACTAGCCAGCCCAGCCATCATGTCCAGGCCGTGTTGGGTGGGGCATCTGTTATTATTGTCAAAGATCCCTCTGCCTAGCTGACAATCAGGCAAATCTATTGCTTGCAGTAAGGATGGACTGACCACCCTTTTGCCTTTATTGTGAGATTACTGAGCAGCCTTCAAGGAGAAATGATCTCTGTGCTAGCATCATTTCTCAGAGCAGGGGATATGATCCTGTGTGCTTAGTACTCTTCGCAGCGGAGAGGGGTCATTTTGGTTGGTTTTTTAAATTAATGTGAAATCCGCTGGTGGATTTAGAATTTACTCTTTTTCTAACACCTTGCTGTTCTTTTTCCAAACCAGGTGTAGACTATCTGATAGCAGGACAGGAAGACACACGGACTAACAAACTTCTCGTGAACATGAACAGCCTGGTGAAGCCCTGGAAAGCTCACTGGGGGAAACTAGTCGCAGACATGCTTCGAACTGGATGCAAATAATACCTTCTTTCAAAGCAAAAGCCACAGACTTTGCATATGTTAGTAATATTGCAGTGAAAGGCCTAAGTAGTTCTCTTGTTGTCTATCAGAACATTCCTAAGGGGAATTTAAAAACAGAATCTCTCCCTCCCCACCCCCGTCATATTTTGTGTTTTAGGGAGGCATCTTGTGCCTTGAGTTCTTTCTTCCAAGAATCAAAGGACAACGACAAAGGACAGTGACAAACCAATCCCAGCCCACACAGACTTGGAAACCTCAACCCTTAACTTTGTTTGCCTAGGAATCACAGCTTATAGCTTGCCCACATCGTTTATCCAGAGCTAAACCCCGCCCCCCCAGCCAGTGTCAAGATTACAAAATGCACCCCACATTGATGCTTTCAAGTCCCATCCTGATACTACTAACGCATAAACGTACAGCTGCTTCACTAAAGCATTTGTTTCAGGGTGGGTGGGTGGCTTTTTTGAAGCAGCCATAAAGGATGAGCAAACAACTTTGTCGAGCTTTGGAGCGACAACATGCTCAACGGTTGGCCTGTCACATGACTCCCGCTTTATTTGGCAATCTTTTCAGCTCACTAAGCAAGCTACAGTTAGAATAACATACGCAGCCTTTGGGGGTCCTTAAAGAGTGTGTACGTGCGCCCTCAGCATTTGCACCGGGATGGAAAGATTCTGTAGATTTATGTTGTCTGTGTCCGAACTTTGCCACCAGAGAAGCAAACAGGCAGAGCCTGTGAGATGGTAGAAGAGGCTGAACGCCTTCCCAGGACTTAGCCCCTTGGGGGATTCTGGGAAGTGTGTGCACTGCGTACAGGGAGGGGGGCATGGCTGGGGTCTGATCCTGCAGGCAGGAGTCTCAATGGACTTCACCTCCGTTCTTTCACAGAGCTTCTGGGGGAAGTGGTAGGTGGGGAGAGTTGGATTAGCGATTACAAAGACTGATGAGTGGAGAGTTGGATCATTTGCCTTCTCTAGGGCTGTTCTCTCAATACGTGCACCAAATCAACAATAGTTCTGGCTTTAACTTTGAGCCCACCTGCTCTCATCAAAGGTCTTCTCCCAGCTTGCCCTCCCCCCGGCATCCATTGCACCACGCAAATTTCAGGAGGATTTCTGCTAAGAAGGGCTTGTGCAGCACCGATGATTCCTTTGTGAGGGAAGAATGCAGCACCGGCCCACAGTTTCTGCATGCAAGTAGTGAAAGAAATCCTGGAAGTTGATTTGGTTTGGCGTTGGTAGATTCACCAAAACCACCGCAGAAGAGGTTGCAGGGCCGCTAGTGAGACATACATTCAAGGAAACATTGGCTACCTCTGGGAACAGCCATGTGGTTATTCTGATCTGCTCTTTCCAAGATAATATTTGAGTCTCAAGTGCTGTCCTGCCTAATATTTCATGTAAAAACTGTTGGGGTTATAGCTGCCAGCAACCACTTGCCTGCAGCAAGTACGTTCCGTTTAAGAGCAGGGCTTCTCAAAGAGCTCTCTTCTCTAATATGAAACAAAGATGGTCAACTAGTGCTGCTGGTATTCTCTATTTTCTGTTGGTTGGTTGAAAGAGAATGGCACCATGAAAATGCTTAAGTGTTGGCCTTTAAGAAACACGACACCTGTCTTATTGATCTTGCCTTCTTTTACTGATTTAGCTGTGATTCCTGCAGTGCAGAGGACTAGACTACAACTCTACAATTCTGATTCTACAATTCCTGAAGACCTGAAGCACTTGTGGGCAGGCACACAACACTCATGTAACTGCATCTTGCATCGCCTGCAAGGCTGGCAAGTAGCGTTCCATGTCCTGGCTAGTCAAGGCACACAGAAATCTGCAAAGATACAAAGGCTACCTTTGCTTCCTACACTGAACCATGGTTTAGCATGTGTGTGTGTCTCACAGGCTCATACTCTTTCCCCTCCTCTTCCTGCATAGCTGGCAGATTGAAAGCTTCTGCTTCTGACTAACCACAGTTTACTGTGCCATCTGTGGCTCATCATGACTATGTTAAGTTTAAACAAGCCCGCTGCAGTTAACTATGGTTTTGAAGTTGCCTTGTTTGAAACTAACAAGAGCTCATGCCAGTCCAAATGAAAAAGCAAACCATGGGCTAAGCAAAAGCTTTCAAACTACTCCTGGCCCATGAGATGAGAGGGA